TTTAGAGTCTATAGACCTCCATTTGACCTGAGCTTTGTCTTGTTTTCACTGAATTGAATAGTATACTATGATATTCATTGGGATAGAGGGATGAGTTACTAGTGTAAATAATTTAGTAGAATGATTTCAATTGGTCTTTTTTTTATAGGAATTGGGCCCCGTTAAAAACCCCCTTCTTAGTTATTGTGTTGAAAAACACAGTAACCAAAGGAAGGGGAAAAGGGTGCCCTAAGTTTATTACCAAACATAGGAATTACAACCAAACCGAAACACACACAAAAAAACCTTCAACAATAACCCTGAAACCCCAAACTCACACCCTCAACACTCACTATCCTATTCCAGATTTAGCTAAACAGTCAGCTTCCCCATTAATACATCTGTTGATATGCCAAAGAGTAACACTAAACTGCAACACTGTCTTCTGAATTTCTTTGATCAAATCAACATAGAGAACCGGACACAGATCATGGTTGTTGATCCATTTTAACGCAAGAAAAGAATCACTTTCCAATATTAGATACCCCTTATCCCTCCAAGCTGAATCAAAAAATAAGTCTAACCCTGCTTTGATCGCAAAAATCTCTGCCTGAATCGGAGGGTACGGATCTGTTGCTCTAGAAAAGGAAGCCAACTTCATATTATCAACATCCTTAAGGATTCCTCCTATTCCACTTCTTCTCCAATCAAAAGTAACTGCCCCATCAACATTCAACTTAAAATAACCCGTAGGAGGAGGACACCACTTCAAATTTTGCAGCCGCACCTTTGAAGGTGAACGATGCACATCCGCTAAAGATAAATCACCCACAAGGCTATCAAAATGAATAGAAATACTCTTATATTTAGCAAAGAACCACGAAGCCACCCTATACCTTACCAAAAAGAAAAGATTAGCATTATCCATCTTGCCATTCTGAAACACAATCTGATTCCTACAAATCCAGACAATCCACAAAACTGCACCCTGAATAAATTGCCAAATAGCCGATAGGCCTTAATTCCACCCATGAAAGCAAGAAACCTTTAGGGTTATTGGGTAGCACTGAACAAACATTCCACAACCGGAGGAATTTAACCCAAATCTCCCAAACCTGAACACAGGAAAAGAATAAGTGACTCACCGATTCAGGTTCCCCTCCATAGAACACACAATTAGGATTTTCGATACCTACGTCACCTCTGCTCAATAAAACTGATTTGACAACCAATTTATGGTGAACAATTTGCCAAAGGAAAACCTCCACTTTAGGTGGAACTAACCCCTTCCACACAATCTCCGCCCAGGAGACATCTGGCTCGGATAGTCTTGAAAAAATCCTAGAGCTGGACTGCACCGAAAACACGCCATCCCCGCTCCCTTTCTAGGCATAGCAATCTTCACCCATCAAACTAGGACGGAAATTATTCAACAAAACCATCATTTGCAGCCATTGATCAAATTCCCTGTCCATTAAATCTCTCCTAAGCTGAACAACCCACTCCCACTCCCTATTACTAACACTCCCAAACTCAGCCACAACTCCATCCTTATTAACCGAAAAAGCATATATCCTTGAGAATAGAGACTTCAAGGTATAGTTACTTGCCCATACGTCATGCCAAAACCTAATAGAATCACCTTTCCCAACCTGTAGCACTAGGTTATTTCGAAAACAAACACCAAAAGTATCATTCAACCGATAGTTTTGTAATATGCCATTCCAAATCCAAGACGCACTTGTATGCAAATTAGCATAAAAAACAATAGACCTCTTATCAACGTTGTACTTTGCACAGATCATCTCCTTCCACCATGACTCCTTCTCACTACCAAACTTCCAAACCCATTTGCCCAAGAGAGCCCTATTCCTAACCTTTAGATCTGAAATTCCCAGTCCCCCAAATTCTTTATTCTTGCAAACAGTATTCCAGTTGACCCAATGGATCCGTTTCTTCTCTTCCGATGACCCCCATAAAAAATTAGACATTAAAGATTCCAATTTTTTCCGAACAGCCACAGGCATTTTGAAAAACGACATATAATAATTAGGAAGAGCATTCAGGACTGATTTTAACAAAACAACCCTTCTTGCAATGGATAATGAACCTGATTTCCAGCCTGCAAGTTTCTTGTAGAACTTATTCACAACCGGATCCCAAAGTTGAATTGAGTTCCTCCTAGCTCCCAAGGGTAACCCCAAATACTCCGCTGGAAAAGAGCCTCGCGAGCAGCCTATTGAGTTAACCCAATCCCCGACAATTGAGTCATGTAAATTAATGCCGAAAATCCTGCTCTTTAACAAATTCAGCTGCAGCCCTGTACACAACTCAAAGACAGTCAAAACCCGTTTCAAATTTTCCAATTGACCTTTAGAGGCTTTGCAGAAAATTATCAAGTCATCGGCAAACTGAAGATGAGAAAGCAAAACCGGAGAAGAATCACAGCCTATCTGAAAACCTTCGAACAAACCCAACACTACTGCTTTAGAAAGCAGAAGATTCAGAAATTCACCCACTAAATTAAACAATAGCGGTGATAAAGAACACCCTTGTCTAAGCCCCCTAGAAACTTTAAAACTTTTAGTAGGTGAACCATTAACAAGAACTGAAATAGAAGTTGTATTTAAACATTTAAAAATCCAAGACCTCCATCTTTGACCAAACCCCATGCACTCCATAATTTTGATTAAGATATCCCAATCCACGGTATCATAAGCTCTCTTAAAGTCCACTTTAAACACTAAACCTTCCCTACCTTTCCTCCTCCAAAAATCAATGGCTTCATTAGCAATTAACGAGCAATCACAAATTTGTCGCCCCGGGATGAAAGCAAATTGAGAATGACCAATCAACCCTCCTATGCACATTCTTAGTCTTTTTGACAAAACTTTGGACAGAATATTGTATAAACCCCCTACCAAACTGATAGGTCTATAGTCCTCAATACCAACTGAATTCGACTTCTTTGGAATTAGAGTAATGAAGGAATGGTTCACACCTTTTCCGAACTTCTTCCCATCATAGAAATCTTTAAAAAAAATTTGGATTTCTCCTTTCAAAACCGGCCAAAATTTCTTAAAAAAGCCCATATTCAATCCATCCGGACCCGGAGCTTTGTTGCTATCCGAAGACTGAATTGCCTCCCAAATTTCCTCCTCAGAGAAATTTCTTTCAAGAAGAGCTCCTTGCTCCTCCGATAGCCTGTTAAAATCCAGATCAAGCTTCTCAACCGCAACTGTCGGCTTGAAGTTGTAAATATCCTTGAAAAAATCGAAAATAATCGATTTTATCTTTCTAGGATCCTTCATCAAATTTCCTCTCACATCCAAGGTATTAAGAGCATTGACCCTCCCTCCATTCGTAGCACATCGATGAAAGTACCTCGAATTACGATCTCCATCCTTGATCCAAATCGCCCTAGATTTTTGGAACCAAACTAATTCCTCCTTTTTGTACAAAGACCATAAATCTTTTTTCTCTTTTGAAATATACATCATTGATACCATTGGATTCCTTTGTTGAATTTGTTCTTCTCGGGTCGAAATTAACCTCTCCTTGCTATCAATTAATTTAGGCAACTCCAGTCTGCACTCGTTAGACCATCTCTTGATCTCATTCTTTGTTTCTCTAAGCAGCACTTCAATACTCGGCCTCTTCCTCCTCTTCAAGTCTGAAATTTTCGATTCAACAGCATCTTTAAAGCCCTCCTCATCCATGACGTAATTGAAAAGTCTAAACGGTTTTGGACCCCAATTAAACTTGTTGGATTCTAGCGTCACTGCATTATGATCCGAGAGAGATTTTGGTAAAAGAATTTGGACAATGTCCGGGAAAAGACTAAGAAAATTATTCGAGACTAGAAACCTATCCAGTCTCACAAAAGAAGGATCTTCCCTATTGTTACCCCATGTAAATTTCCCTCCAACCAAAGGCAAATCCAAAAGATTAGCTTGAAACAGAAAGTCCCTAAACAGACTGATTGAAAAAACAGAAACTGATTTTCCCATTTTCTCATCTTGAGCTAAATGAGTATTAAAATCACCAGCTACACAGAGTGGACAAACCACTGAAGAAATAAAGCTTAATAATTCCTCAAAAAATGCCTCTTTATCCGAATCAACAGAAGGCCCATAAACATTGACAAAACAACATTCTTCTTGACTATCCATTAATACACCTTTCATAGCGACAAACCTAGAAGAAATTTTCAACAATCGAGGAGAAAACCAATTCTCATCCCATAAAGTCAAAATGCCTCTTGAAGCTCCGACAGCCGGAGACTCAGCAAAACCACCAAGGTAATTACCCCCCAACTTTCTTCTCAAAGAAAGATTAACCACCTCCAATTTCGTTTCTTGCAGAAAAAGAAACGAAGGTTTCTTATTCGACACTACCTTCTTCACTGCCCTAACCTTCTCCTTCCTTCCTAAACCCCTAACATTCTAAGTTACACAATTAACACCAACCATTACTAAAAAAAACTAAAACCTTCAGAAGAAAAGTGAGATTAGAGCCCACCCTCCTCACACCTATTCGGATTAACCCCCAAAAACTTCTCAGCAAAGGCGGACTTTCCCCCCTTAAAATTAACACCTAACATTTTGCTTATCCTCCAGGTTAAGTCCAAATCCACATTCTCTAATGGACAGTCATCTGCATAAAAAAACTTCTCCGAATCGCCTCTTTGACTCTTCTTCCTTAGCCTGCTATAAACTCTATCGCAGAAAACAGTTGCAGCATATACCGGGCGACTACGAATTAAAGGAGGGGATGAAGAACACCTCCTGCTAGACAAAATCCCTGCTTGTGGAGTGGAGTATCCTTTCTGAAATAAATCATCACCTGTTTCTGACGAGGTGATATCAGTTTATTTGTTACCCTTCTTTTATATTACAGTTTTGGTTTGTGGTACACCCGATACAATGATTGTATCTGCTAATGGTGTTGGAGAGGAATGTTTTTGACACGATATAGTGTTCCTTTAATGTTGGTTAATAATTAACTTCCTCCTACTGCAGGCATTTGTGGCCGAAAATCCTAGCAGACCCTTGCCAAAATTGCGGAATACAACGCCCGAGTCCACAAGGTATGAAGAAAGGACTGCACCTCCAGGAACCTTGAATGTGAAACAGCTACACCACATCATGCTTTTACATCAGGGCAAGGCCGAAGATCATGATGGTCCCATGGATGTTAACCGGATTGCAGATAAGTTCAGATTGGATGTCTCAAAGGTCCAAACAATCTTGCAATTCATATCCCTTCCTCCAGAGGACATGAAACCCAAAAACCGCTAAATGAAGAACACTGACTTCCATTTTCCTCTTATTCACAAGTTGGATTTTGTGTTTGAATAGGGGTGCTGGTTTCATTTCAGAATAAATTTTGAAGTTTATCAATTGACATTAGTTTATATTCCTCAGCATGTAAAGGAACAGTTTAGAATGTTTTTGATGTTCATTCTGATAGACACTGTATTATGTATGAATTTATGAAAAATATAATAGAAAGATGGGTTGTTTTACCATGATGCTCATCTGATTCTTACATTCCAGAGGGAGTAAATCTCACAAAGCCTTGAAATCGGATAATGTCATGATGAAGAGTTTCAACATTACAAAACAGAGTTATCAATATATGTATCATTTTGGTTCTGATATTGATCTATTTCGATAAGAACAAATTCGCGATGATTCAACATTTCAAGCTTTTCATAGATCATGCATCTAGGAAAAAGAAATAGCATTTCCTTGAGTTTCAGAGGTATAAGAAGTTACTCTCCATCTTTATTTCACCACTGAATTCTATAAACAATATCAACTTCCTGTAAATAATGACAATTGAATGTAATAATATGATAAACCCTTCCCCTCATTTTCTTATGAGGGCCTCTACAAAATCCAGGGAAAAAGAATGAATGATGTAATAGATGAGAAGTAAAACAAAAATGAAAATCCGGTTCAGCATTAAGTCGAAAAGGACTCTAACCAATCTGATGTAAACTCGTAAGCCACAAATGTTACAGCACCGGCCGGCGCAGCTTTGATTGTTGACGGAACAATCCCCTTATAAAGACCATGTAAACCCTCTGATTTCAGAATCCGATTTAAGGCATCAAACATGTTCCTGTAAGCACGATGTTCTACTCGGGCACCGTACTTCGGGTGCCGCTGTAATCCTTCAATCTGCAACCAGACAATAACATTAAAGCTACATAAAGTATTACTATCTTTTAAAATGATACAAGGAAAGAGATCTAACACCTTCAGCACAACATCTAACATAAAACAAATAATTATCTAACATTCAGAGACCGGGTGATGGAGGAACGTGAGTTTCAAGAAGCCCCGAGATGTACCTGGAACCTTTTCTTGACTACATCAAGGGGATGACAGACAAGTTTCGCACAAGTACCAGCTGCTAGTCCACAAATGAGAAGTTGTAAACTTGAAAGGCTATCATCCGTGGTTGAGCTTGTATTTGATGATCTTAACCGGTTCCAAGCCTAAGATGATGACATAAATACCAAACCAATATGTCAGAAAAGTGCTCTTTAGAAAAAACATATTCAACGCTTAAATGTATCAGAAAACTAAGCAAGTCTCAAGAGCAAACCAAAATTTCAATATATGCAAGAAATTTCATTTTATTGAAATCTAAAATTTAAGCAGTATTAGTCTCAGTAAAACAAAAAAAAACCTCACCATGATCCAACGCTTAAATGTATCATAGGTGCCAAATTGCAAGCCAGCATAAGGAATGATCTCAACCAGTGTTGGTGACAACCCCGCATACAATCCACTGAAGCCACGAGTTTTGAGTATATCAAATAGTGCTGATCTCATGTTAGGATATACCTACATGTAATTGGGAAATGCCGAATAAATGAGCTACATTAAAGAAATTAAAGCCTTTGCAGGCAGGGTTTTAAAAAACGGTCCGCGACAGCTATTTCGGCCGCGATATAGCGGTTTCGCCGCTGTCCGAGTTACCCGCGACTGCCGCAATAGCGCCCGCGACGACCGCAATCACGGTAAATCCGAAATAACCGAAACCGCGATTTAAAACCCTGTTTGCAGGTAAGAAGTATGAGGATACAATGGGCGCTTGCATGCAATAGTTTTCACACATCACTTTATGGGTTCAAGGAATTTCCAAAGAGATTATGAATAAGTAATTGTATAGGGATTCAAAATTATATTTCCCACAAATGATTGAAATGTTGTCAAAGCAGAAAATGACATCACAGAATTATACAATTTAATACCTTAGGTTCACCTTGTGAAGCTAATAAAGTCCGTAGAAGATCAAAAGGATAAGATCCAACAGTAGCTGCACAGCCTGCGAACCCTCCACTGACATAAGACAGGTAGGGGCTTATGTTAAGGTGATCCGCTGCACCGTTACAAAATCAAAACGTAAGAAACAACATAAGGCTATCATCTGAAATAATAAAAGCTTGATATTAAAATACCACATATAACGGTGGACATTAAGGACAAATAATGTGTATGCTTCTACATTAAATAGCTGATTGTCCCAGATTAGTGTCAATACAGAGCATAACCCGAAACTTGTTACTTTTGATCAGAACATAAGAAAAGACATTGGGCAATGTAAAGTACCTGAATTGGAAGAACCAGAAGCAAAAGTTTTCAGTTTGTGTAACACCGCAAATTGTATAGCAGTATATGGCATAACCATAAGCAGGGCTGGGACATTACCTCGCCAAAAGCCCTGCCATAAACAAGCATAGTGAATAAGAGAAAAAAGAAACAAATCTACCAGAATTCAGGAAAATCAGCAAACATAAAAAAGAAAAGACTAACTAACAATGTGGCTAACTACAGAAATTAATAAGCACTATATATAAACCATTATCAAACATAACCAGATAAATAAAAGAGGAAACAAACATACAAATCTACAAGAAAATGGCCTTCTTACCCGTAAACCCTCTTCCCTGAATATCTCCTTTGTTGCTTGAAACATTCCAGTATATTTTGATGATCCAGAAAGATCTTTCCGGATCAAAGACCATGAAGATGTAGGCTCCAATTGTACCTATCAGCATAGAAAAAAAAACTTCTCAGTGCTTGCAACAAAGCATTAATATATCCTGATCCATGCCCAAAGGTGAAATGAAAATTTTCATAAATGGAAGCATATGAGACGAGATGAAGGTTGCGTTTCATCATCATACAATGAGGATAAAAATATGAAAACATGTTTAAGATAATCCAACATGAAAGAAGGGGACAAAAAAATTGCTATGGTGAGAAAACAAGAATGAATAGCAAACTTTGAAGGGGATGACATAGAACATGGTCAGAAATTATAGAAGAAAAAAACTGATTTTTGCTGCTCTCATCTGATATCCAATGTCCTGAATGCTTATATACACTTAATAAAAGACTCACTTTCATTCATTCATTAGACCAGCGTGAAGCTAAGAAAAAAAATATATACCTAAGGCAGCATACAAGCAAACCGTGCACTTTCATACACTTTCATTCAGGATATCCAATGTCCTGAATGCTTATATACACTTAATAAAAGACTCACTTTCATTCATTCATTAGACCAGCGTGAAACTAAGAAAAAAATATATGCCTAAGGCAGCATACAAGCAAACCGTGCACGCTACAAGAAAAGGAGAGATGTCCGCAATTGCTACCACAAGAGAGCCACCTCTACCATCTATTAAGGGGGCCGTCACTTTGTTCGTACCTTCTTTTAGCAGAAGATAGGCCAAATATGAAGATTATGCAGTCAGTATTTCAAGGGTGATTTCACACTATACATAATTGTCCAATGAGAAATTTCAAAGGTCTATGAAGAAATTATCTTTATATATACATAGTTACATACTACTACTGTGTTTATTCTGACAACTATTACTTAATACTTATCAATCAAGTGAAGCATATGTTTTGAATTGCAGCATTGCAAACTAAACTCCTTGAATTCACCAAACATCCTACGAAGCCTAACAACCTGTTCTCTAAGATTTTGCTAGGTAGCAAGGCTGGAGAAAACTTGTAAAGCTACAAAGTAAACTCATTGAATTCACCAAACACCCTACGAAGCCTAACAACCTGTTCTCTAAGATTTTGCTAGGTAGCAAGGATGGGAAAAACTTGTAAAGCTACGAAGTAAACATATAATACGAATCCAAACCATTAGATTATCGAGCTTTTGATCTTTGACCTCTTTCTATCAAATCCCACCAAGAAAATCCTAAAAACAGTTTAATTCACAGAAAAAAGGGGAAAAACCAGAAAGAATATCATAGATATAACAACATATGCAGTAACCCCAGTGTTCATCATATTAAAATAAGCAACAGCAATGAAAATAATAATAATGAATAAAACCCCTCGTTCACCTGGAATCTTATCTTAATAACATCAAGAGGAGAAGTAACTGTCCGGGAAATTCCACCCGAAACGGCACCTGCGGTGGCATCGAGTAATGCCCTGTTTAACTGCCCTCGTTCTTCCATTGCCAGAGCTTTGCTTTTTATTATTATTATTATTAAAAAGAAAAAAGAGAACCCTTTCTTTTTTTCAATCGCTCTCTGGAATTAGGCTACCGAATTGAAAACCCAATTTTCAGAAGGGAGAAGAACTAGAAAGATGGGGTTAGTGAGAGAATGCAGGTGAAGAAGAAGAAGAAACGTAAAGGTAGCTGGAAATTGGGAATGGGCTGACCGCGTGAAAGGTTACCGTCGGATTAAAGCTACTTCTTGAAGGAAATTAAAGGGAAGAAAACAGATATGTTAAAGGAACGAGTTTTCTCTTTTTGCCGCCTTACTGAATTGTGGGAGCGGCGAGTCCATGTGAAAACTGAGAACACACAAGGAAAACTGTAAAAATTACATATACTCTTAGTGGCTGTTTGATCTGGAATCTACATTTTTCTGTTTGATATTAATAATGGATTTTTTAAGTTATATTATCGAGAATTTCATTACTTTGCTTTTCTTATGTATTATTGAATTATTAGCGTTTTGAATTAAAATACCGTTAATTTTTTTTTCAAAAACATCATTATTTTGTCATTGAATAATAAAAATTATACGAAGGTTAAATTACAAATTTATCCTTAAACTATTTTAGATTTACAAAAAAAAATCTATAATTAAAATTTTATATAAAGTTCAAGGGGTTAAAATTAAATTTTACCCTTTCATTAAACCTTTTTATATTTTTAATTTTGTAAAAAATTATATAAATTTTATGAATTTAAATTTTTTGAAGAAAATATATAAATATTTTCTAACTTGTTAAAAAAATATATATAATGAGAATAATTTGGTCAAATATACATTTCCATAATATTTTATTCCTTTAGTCAAACACAGTAATCTTACATTCCTGCTAAATCAACTAAACACAAAATACAACATTCTCAGTAATCCTATTCACTGGTAATCTTTTATTCTCACTGGTAATCTTACATTCCGTGAACCAAACGCACCCTTAAAGTTGAGAGAATATATTTCAGTTAGATTCTGTTTTAAAATAGATTAATCATTAATGATTTTTATATATATATACGGTTAAGATTTTGTTACATTATAAAATTATTTTAGTTTTACATTAGATCAATATAATTAGATGATTGAAGATTAAAGAGTTTAACGTTTGCACAATATAAAATTCTTCTAATTTTATATAAATTTAAAAATGTTAGAAGAGTGGAAATAAATAATTATGATTGAAAATAATTTTAATTATAAAATAAATATTCAAATCATACAATTTCTTTTAAGCAATTAATCTTAAACTCTTAACTTTTAAAAGTTTTTAAATTCAAAAAGAAAAAAAAAACCTTAAAATCACTAGATCAATCATTCCTAATCCTCGGATCATCCACTGATTCATTATTATAGACTAACTTGCATCGCTAAATTATTCACCGTTGTTTATCTTTTTTGTTATTGGAATTCATTGATTGATCACTAAATCATTCACCATTGTTTATCTTTTTTTGTTTATCTTTTTCGTTATTGGAATTCATTGATTGATCACCTCTTTATTGTAGTAGAAATATTCAAATCTCTAAATAGTGGTGAAATTTGATAATAGAGTTTGAGATGTTAATTTAATTTTTTTTTTAAAATAGAGATTCAAATTTAAATTTTCAAAAAATTTGAAAGGTTTGATTTATAATTTTTCAAGAAAAATGGGGTCTAAATAAAATTTTAATATGCTTAATGAGAATTTTTAAAAATTATGAGAGGAATTTAATCAAAAATATTTAAAAAATTAAACTTAATATGAATTTCTAATTCCAAAGGTCTAATTTATATTTTTTGACTTTTTTTTTTTTGTTGTGTCCCTATTGTGTTTCGCCTTTATCTCTAAATCTCCTCAAAACATATTTTTTGTTTATCAATTATCACCCATTGATTCGATAAAAATTGTAAATCTACATCTTTATCTAAATCGTATCGATATATTATGATGCATGAATCTCTAATAGGTTTGAGAGGTTTAGAGATTTTAATTAAAAATTTTGTACCATAACGATGGGAGATGTTTAATCAATGGAGATACTACGAGAGAAGAGGATACAAGAATTTGAAGATTTTATGAATGATTTAAAAAGTGACTTTTTTAAATTTTAATTAAAAAAACAAGTTTAGTGCTATGTATTTATTGATTGACGAATTTTTTATGGCCATTAATGGACCGACCTTAAAATGATAACAAAATGAAATGTTAAACATTTATTTTGAACCAAAAAACTTTAAATGTATAAAATAAAAAATATATAATTTAAATATTTATTTTTATATTAAATTGTGATAAACAAAATATATAATGATAAAATTAGTCCTAACATTTGCACAAATAGTCATTTTAAAGATCTCAATATTTTAATTTTTTTGTCAAAATAGTCAATGTTGAATGAAAATTTTTAGTTGATTAACGACGGTGAACATATGTTGTTAATTTGATATTTTAATATGTTTTAGTTGATGATATGACATGTATTACGTTATTAAAGTAACAATGTAATATATACCTCATCACTCAAAATAATAACATGACAAATGCGACCGCATTAATCTAATAGATTCATCTTAAAATCTTGTAATATTTTATACTATTAATATTTTAATAGAACAATTGTTTTTTATATACATAGCTAAATTACGTGTGGTTCCTTAAACTCTTAAATTAAAGATAATTATATTTTTTATGGTAAGATAATTACATTCGAATGTATGCCAATTTATTATTTTTTAGTAGGAATCAAGCGATTTTAATGGTGAAGTGATTTGTTATTATTTCTTGAGATCTTGATTTTGAGCATCGTAAATGTAAAAGATATTAACGTTTATTGTTAAATTGTTAAGAATGTTTGAATAACTACTACTTTATATTTACTCAAGAATTATCAAAATAATTTATCTTAAAAAAATACCAATTGAGGGAATACTCGAAATGATTCTAAAAGATTAACTAATAAATATAACAATTTTGTATTTAAATTTAAAAGAGATTAAGTGATACATTTTTATCTCACACATACGTACGTATACGCGCGCGCATATATATACACGCGGGAGGGATCCATTTAAAGCAGTGTAAAAATTCACGAAAACTTTTTTAAGATTAATATCTTAATAATTCAATCATTGAATTTATTAATATATTTGTATTTATTATGTATATAAATCTTTAATTAAAGCGATATTTATTAAAATATTAAATTTATTAATATATTTATATTAATTATGCATGTAGTTTTTATATAAAATAAGTAATCAAATATTTTCAATTTACTCAAAATTTAATATACATTATTTACGCAAAACACAATAAAATTCGATGGTTAATTTATTAAAATATTGATCATAAAAAATTAAAATTATTTAAATTTTAAACTAGTGTAAATAGATGCCTTCTTATGATATTTATATAAATTAATTAATTTAATTTACATATGAAATTTGTGTTTATCATAGAGATGCTGGTGGTTTTGTCAACTTATTGCATTTTCATATAAATTTTTTGAATTTATTAGTTAAGAGATTCATCAATAATTTTGTCAACTTGTTCTATTTTCAAATTTTAAATAAATATATTTGTTTATTGAAGAGATGCCGGGGTTTTATAAATGGTTAAACTATAAGTTTCAATCATCGAACTTTGATAATATTCCTGTTTTGGCTACAATCATTTAGAAATTTCAATTTGATCATATAACTTTGACATTACTCCCTTTTTTTACTATACTGTTGATTATTTAATAATTTTATTACAGGATATATATCTTTTAAAAATAGTAAAAATACCCTAAAAAATCTTTAAAATTTATTAAAATAATATTGAAATATTCTTTCTCAAATTTTAAACTTGGCTTTTCAAAATTTTGTTATTTTTTCGACGTTGAAACATCTTTCTTCGTATCTCAATGGTGGGGAGATGAAAAAGGAAGAGACAAGTATTTACTTCATGGTTATCATACTATGTGGATCGTAGACCGAAGTTGTTTTCTTTCGAATTTTAAGTTGAGGTTTTACGGGTTTCTAAAGATATTTTGGGAAAATCTAAATTGATTTAATGATAGGGGATGATAAGCTGAATTTATCGGGTCGAAAGTGGTAAGAGAAGATGCTAAAGAACGACAACGTCGATGATGACTTGATATAGGATTAAAACTCTAAGAGTCTTAAAATTAATTGGGAAGATAATTAAATGAGAAAAAAAATATAAAAATCAGAAAAAGAGGAGGTGGCTTCCACGACAATAAAAAAAACCCACATCAGGAAAAAAATAGGACATGTCACCTTGTTATTTATAATTTAATACCCGAATAACTAAACAAAGCAATCTGAAAATAAAAATAGGATCAAAGTTGAATGATGAGAAGTATAATTAATTTTTTATACATAAATAATTTCAGTCAAAAGATCAACGGACATTAGGTTTTATTTTTCATTCAAAAGATGATAACCAATATAGTTGTTTGATTTTATTAGTTTTAAGTTGTATTTTATCGTATTTCTAAAAATATTTCTTCTTTGTTAATGAACAATGAGTCGAGTCGAACAATAACTTTTTTAATGAGCATGAATTGAGTATTATTCAACTCACGATCAACTCGCTTAATAAACACCCTTCTCACAAGTCAACTGAACCCTAATTATCTCTTGTTAGATCAAAATGAGTGGTGCTTGGTTTTTCAATAGACATGCAACTCTTCCAATTGAGAATCTTGGTTTTAAGTTTGAGATGTTAATTTAATTTTTTTTTTAAATAGAGATTCAAATTTAAATTTTCAAAAAATTTGAAAGGTTTGATTTATAATTTTTCAAGAAAAATGGGGTCTAAATAAAATTTTAATATGCTTAATGAGAATTTTTAAAAATTATGAGAGGAATTTAATCGAAAATATTTGAAAAATTTAAACTTAATATGAATTTCTAATTCCAAAGGTCTAATTTATATTTTTTGACTTTTTTTTGTTGTTGTGTCCCTATTGTGTTTCGCCTTTATCTCTAAATCTCCTCAAAACATATTTTTTGTTTATCAATTATCACCCATTGATTCGATACAAATTGTAAATCTACATCTTTATCTAAATCGTATCGATATATTATGATGCATGAATTTCTAATAGGTTTGAGAGGTTTAGAGATTTTAATTAAAAAATTTGTACCATAACGATGGGAGATGTTTAATCAATGGAGATACTACGAGAGAAGAGGATACAAGAATTTGAAGATTTTAGGAATGATTTAAAAAGTGACTTTTTTAAATTTTAATTAAAAAAACAAGTTTAGTGCTATGTATTTATTGATTGACGAATTTTTTATGGCCATTAATGGACCGACCTTAAAATGATAACAAA